CGTTGTTTTACAGCCCCAGCGAGCGCAATAAGTAGAGCTATCCCCTCCACACCTGTTTCTCTGGGACTTGTATTTTGGAGTTCCAGGCCCTGGGCAAACAGAACTGGCCTGGTTTTCTGTATGGGCCTGGAGAGTTAGTTAGAGCATAAGGATGTGAGCCTCCCTTAGGATTGAAATCAAAGAAAGCATTTAAACGGGAGTGCAGAGTTGGGAACCAAGTAGTCAGAGGCGCTGCTTGGGAGATTTGAAACAACATCTTGGAGGACCCAAGTCAGATTCAAAGGTTGATGCGGGCTTCCCGGAGCAAGAGCAGCTATCATGGGGAACAGAGTATAGACAGTCAACAGTTTGAAAATCGAGTAAGCTTTAGCTTGAGCGGATTGTTGGGGTCCTTTGAAACTCTCCATCCTGAAGCTGGGGATGCACAGTCCTCTACGGCGAATGGGTCAGCCAGCCATACATGTGTGTGGTGGATCCACGATGTGACACCATCCACTTTGAGGGCTGTAGGGGTAGTCAGTAGGGTAACATAGGGCCTCTTACACCGTGGCTCTAAGGATCCTTGCCGATGCCTCTTAACATAGACCCAGTCACCTGGTCGATATTGATGAGGTTCTGGAAGGGAGTCCTGTCTCATAAAGAGCACGTAGTTTAGGCTATACATGTTTATGGGACCATTGGACTCCCCTGAGGTCATTCAACAGATCCCGATCTTTAAATTCAGTAATCTTTTCTGCCTGGAGGTTAGGGATAATGGGAGGGGGCATTCCAAACATGATCTGAAAGGGGGTTAATCCCATCTGGTAAGGGGAGTTACACACTTGATAGAGGGCAAACAGAAGGAGAGACACCCAGTCACTGCCAGTCTCTAAGGTCAATTTAGTTAAGGTCTCTTTCAGAGTTCTATTCATTTGTAATGGGAGGGGGCACTCCAAACATGATCTCAAAGGGGGTTAATCCCATCTGCTAAGGGGAGTTACATACTCAATAGATGCAAATGGAAGGCAAGTCACCCAGTCACCGCCAGTGTCTAAGGTCAATTTAGATAAGGTCTCTTTCAGAGCTCTATTCATTCTCTCTACCTGTCCTGAACTCTGGGGGCTATAAGCACAATGTAGTTTCCAATCGATCCCCAGAACTGTGGCCAGACTCTGACTTACCTTGGACACAAAAGCCGGTCCATTATCTGACCCTATCATCTGTGGAAAGCCGTACCTGGGGAGGATGTCTTCCAACAGTTTCTTCACCACCATTTGAGCCATTTCACGTTTAGTAGGGAAGGCTTCAGTCCATCCTGAAAAAGTATCTACAAAGACTAGCAAATAACGGTATCTGTACCTGCCAGGTTTTACCTCAGTGAAATCCGTTTCCCAGTAGGCTCCGGGTTTTCTCCCTTGAAGCCTGATTTCTGGGTTTTTAATATTTGGCACCGCACTAGTGAGTTGGCAAGCTTTACAGCCATTAACAATGTTTTTAATCTTTAAATTAGCCTCCTTGATTTTTACTTTGGCATATCGAATAAGTCCTGCATTCTCTTGATGTACTTCAGCATCAGATAACAGGGTATCTGTGACAATGTCTTTAATCTTTAAGTTAGCCTCCTTGATTTTTACTTTGGCATGTTTAATTAAGTCCTGCATCCTCTTGATGCTCATGTGGGAAGAATGGTGTATTTTTGCCAGGATTTGTTTTCCTAATTTTTCTGGGAGGATCAGCGATCAGGTACTGTGGACATGGGCCAGGATTCTGGCACAATCATGCAGGGGGGATCCAAGTCTGGGTCCGGCAAGAGCATGGCTAGATTCAGGGCAACTGGTACCTGGAAGGTGATTCTAACAGGATTAAGAAGTAATGCCTGATAACAAGTTATACAGGCATTACTTAGCCATCTGTCTGGGGGCTGCTTTAAAACTCTTTTAATTGCATGTGGTGTGGTGATGGTCAAGTTCTGACCCAAAGTCAGTTTGTCACCATCTTAGTGGTGAATGGCCAATAGTGATGGGGCTGGTTGCTGGCCTCATCCGTGGGGCTGGTGACTCTGGGGTAAAACAGTAAAGTCTGGACCCTCCGGTGTTGCTGCGCTTCTACTCCTAGTCCCCTGAGCTGGTCCCCCTGTGCCTGTGAAGACTGGTACCAGGTCTGGACCCTCCGGTGTTGCTGCGCTTCTACTCCTAGTCCCCTGAGCTGGTCCCCCTGTGCCTGTGAAGAATCTGGTACCAGGGTGCCAGTTCCGGAGGGGGTACCTTCTGTGGAGGAGGTGGATAGGAGGGGGAAGAAAAATTAGATCTTTTTCTGTGCTGCCCTGTAAGACAGGGTATAGTGATGGGACTGATGGTTTGGTTTCAGGCTTAGGTGCTTTCTGGGTTGTTTTCCGTTCTGCAGCTGTCAGCACCTCAGTTTTCTGTAAAGGAAGAAAAGACTTGACCCAAGGAGGGGGGTTATTAACTAAATCTCCCCAGACCACTATGTATGATATTTGATCCAAGTGTCCCATATGTGGTGGAAGAATAATTTTCTCAACCATGTTAATGACAGCGGGATCAAAGATCTCCGAGGGCCATCCCACATTGAAAGTGGGCCATTCAGACCTGCAGAAAGTAGTTTATCCTTCCTGACAACAACAGAAAGGTTATGGGCTCGAGTCTTAACCTCTCCAAAATGTGCAAGAACCAGGTCCAGGGGTGTAGAGGGGGTCTGTCCCATTGCGTCCGTCTCAGTCACAGAGAAATAGACAATCAAAGACAAAGCAGAGAGCCACAGAGACATGCAGAAGGCCAAGTAGCAAATTCCCCCACTCATGCGGAAGAAAAACTGGAAGTAGGACAGCAGTGAACTGCCGTGCCACGGGAGGGACCTGCCTTGTCCTTTCACCGAAATCAACAGAGTCCGGGGCCCTCCTTCCCCTCTGCCGGGGTTTGGAACGTCTTCCAGACCTCTGTGGTCACAGTCATCCAGCGTGTCCGCTCCAACCACTCCTGACCACACTGTTCACAAGTTTGCCTTGAGGCTCAAAACAAAAGCTGGGACAGACACAGACAGGGACAACTAGACACAAACAGACACTTACTGGCTGGCCAGGAACCCTTCGGTTTGGGGGTCCTTCGGGGTGGGGGTGGGGGTCTTGGGGATCCCGGACGAGCCCCCAAGATTTTGTGCCCAGTTCACGAGACCCCAAAGACCACCAAGGAGCCGACCGATGCAAACATACAAGGGTTCTTTTATTGTTACAAGCTTAAGCTTGGGCCCACTCTGTTACCGACCCAGCGGATCTCAGATGTGAGACCCCTTGCTTTGGGAGACAGGTTTTTATAGATTTATTTTAGCAAGTTC